ATATGAAAAATGAATTTATTTTTGATAACCCTAAAAGTATTTACCTTAGAAGACTGAACTTGTTTTTGTAAACGAGTGTGGACCCAGATGCTTTTGTCAAAATTACTTATAAACAAAGAAATGACAGAATAGAAGAAAATATTTGCAGATATATTTTGTGATATGGATTTCATGTTTAGATTATATAACAAATGGGTATAAATCTGCAACCAAAGAATAACCTAAATTTATAATATGCCAAGGACCCTTGCACAGTCCTGGGCATCTGTAATCCCAGGCGTCTAAGACACGAGATTCACAAGTTTGCAGCCAGCCTGGGCACCTGTCCCAAAACAAAAATAAATAAATACATGTAAAGGCTGGGGGTGTAGCTCAGAGGTACAGCGCCCCTCAGATCAATCCCCAGCAGTGAAAGAGAAGGGGGAGGGCAAAGGGCTTGCAAGACCTATCTCCAGAGATGTTCCAGTGGCCAATAAGCACATGACAAGACCTCAGTGTCATTAGTCACTAAGGAACCAAATCAAAATCACAATGACACCTCACCCCACACCTTCCTGCATTCCCCAGGGACTCTGAAGAGCTGCAGTCACAGTGGAGAACACCTGGGCACTTCCTGCCAGAGCCAGGCAGAAGCCCATCTACCCAGCACTCCCACGGCTGGGCACATGCCCACAGGATGGGAAACAGGGACTCCCATAGCTCCCCACAGGCTAAGGCTCGCCACACCATTCTTCACAACAGGCAGGTGTGGAAACAACCCCGTGTCCATCAACAGAGGAATACATAAATAAACATGGTTCACAAATATGTTGGATTATTGTTTGGCCATAAAAAAATAAAGATCTGATGCACACTACAACTTGGGTCAACCTAAAAACATGATTAAACAAGAAGCAAAATGGTATGTGGTTGTATAATTTCATTTATATGAGATATCTAAAATTGGGAAATTCATAGAGACAGGAAATAGATTCAAGGTTACCCGAGGCTAGAGGGTCTTGCGCCGTGATAGCTTAATGGTCAGAGTTTTAGTGCAGGTGATGAAAAAATTCTGGAAATAGTATTGGTTGTTGTATATTTGAATGGACTCATGGCATGTATTTCTACAGTTAAAAGAGTTAATAGAGCACATTTTTGTAATAAGTATTACACAATGAAAAGTTTTTAGGAAAGATGTGTAAAATACACCCACTCTGCT